CCAGAACACAGACGGTAGCAGAAGTCCTCCATGCAAACATGATGGCTACAGGACAGTATGAGAAGTGTAGGTGGCACCTACAGGACAATGCAGAGAATTGGGGTACAGGGAGTGCTGGCACCTGGAGGGGAGACAGAGTTAGATGAGCCTGTGAAGAAATCAGCAAAAAGTGAAGTTGGAGCTGGAGTGTGACTTGGCCACACAGCACATGCTTAGCATGCACAAGGCCCCGGGTTCCATCCCCAGAACGTGCAGCATCCTGGAGGCAAAGCAGGCCAGGCCCTGGAGGAAATAGGGTCGGCAGTGCTGGAGCCGGAGTCAAGCTCTGGTGACCCTGAAGGGCAGCTTCAGCAGCTGTCCCGCTCGCTCGGGCCACGTGCTGGGTCAGTAGGAGCCCACTCAGAACCAAGTAACACAAAGCCCTGTGCAGAGCAAGCCATCAACTAGGTGGCTGGAGAACAATAGGGCCCCCCCAGAGCTCTGCCGTGTCACACTGCCCTTTCTGTACAGGTGACACCAGCAAAAAGAGCCAGCAGAGATAAATGCTGAACCCGTGGGCAAATTGGGACAGTCCTATTGTGTCCAGCCAATGACCAGAAAAGTGGGGGAGGACATTTCTTCAGCATGACTCACTATACATGGCTCACTCATTCTCATCGTGTTGAGTCCACTGTGCCTCGAGTCCGAGAAGGGGGACGTGGACATAGAAGAGATCCCGTCCCTGCCCTCAGGCAGCTTACAATACAGTTGGACGGATTTTCATCCCATGGGAATATCCCCCCATCAAAACTCCTCATCCGCAATGCCCGGTGAAATCACCACTGGCGCTTTTTCAAAACGACCTGAGTGTAACAATCATTTCCATGCTTCCCTGGAGACGGTTAAATTCAAACTGCATGATAAGAGAGGGATGTGGCTCAGTGCCCAGCATGTGCAAGGCGCTGGGTTCAATTCTCCAACACGGCCAAACATAAATAATCTGATAAAGATTCTAGACTCTCCCAGGCCCGCGTTGCCTCCCTAACAGCAAGGTGCCGCAACATCCCTTCCCTTAGGGGCCACCGTCACGGCGCCACTCCTGCTTCTCCAGCCTCCACCCCCAAACCTAGCAACTTCTACTTCTGTGTTTCCACCTGTCAGTGACATTCTTCTTGAGCCACCTTCACTGCCCTCAAACTCATTCTGAAGTCACACTTACCATAAGACATCTCTCAAACTGTCACCCTCTTCAGACATCACTATCCCTGTCCATGATACCCTCCTCTCATCATCCCTCCGATGCATCTCCTGCATTGTTCAACTGTCAAGTTCTGGGCAAAGCAGAGTCATGTGCACATGGTGGGTGTTCAATGTTTGCTTGCAGATTGAATGTGTATGTTCCGGTAGCCTCACGGTCTACTGCCAACTGTGGCTACAGCCCTGGTGGTCGAAAGGATGGCTTTGGGAACAGGTGGGTCAGAAATCCAATAACCCAAAATTGAGTATCAAAGACCACAGACTAGTAACAGCTGTGTAGCATATGATGCCTGAGGCCCCTGCCACTTTCACCAAAGCCTGCTGCTCCCTTTCCCCCAGCAGCCCCAGGATGTAAGAGCCCGCCGCCAGTGCCACAGGGAGCCAGAGTGGGCACTCCCAGGGACTGGTGGGCCACAAGATGGGCAGCCCTTAACTAATGGTTGGCAGATGTGATGCGACTACTCCCTGACCCTAATGGGGTAGCTCTGATGTGAAACCCACAGAGCCCCACACTCACCTGGGCTGAAGGCCTCACTTGGCATCTTCCTCGTCCCGGTCCATCTTCCTTAGAAAAACCTCACCATCACCACCAAAAAAAAAAAAGTCTTTCACACCAGGCCGCTCACCTCTTGCCCTGCCCCGGGGAGCAGGGTTGGAGGAGCACAGTCTAAGGCAAGGTGGATGAGGCTTCTGCCCACACCTGCCTAACCATGCTGTGCTTGAGATGTGCTTGCAATCACTCTGCTCCGCTCTTCGTTAATGTTACCACCATTTAAAAAGTCAAATGACCATTGTAGTTCCAGGAACCTTGGAGACAAATCCATTCAAAACACTCTCCGCAGGCTTATTTCTTCTTCTTACTATAATTATATTGTCTCTGAAGTGAAAGAGCTTTGAACATCATAGCGAAATAAAATAAAAGACTCAAAGGGAGAAAAAGGGATTTTTTGAACTTGTCTTTAGAATTGTCCTTTACCTGGGTTGATAATTAAATAGAAACTAAAATGAATTTGACCAGTTTAATGTTCTCTCTCTTAAACGTTTTTATGATACAAGTCATACGATGACGGTAGAGAAATCTGAAATCCGGGGTGGGGAAACATCTCAATACTCTAACCATTTACAAACTATTTTCTTGGTACTATGCCTCCCTGCTCTCTGCCCTTTACAAACTACTTCCTTCCAGCTGTTCCCGCGGCGTTTCGCCCAGGCACCTTTTGCTCAAACACTTGGCTCTCTGGTGTGTTTTCCTGCAGCCTGGACCGTTCTCCATGCTGTAACACAGTCCTCGTGGTTGTCAACATCAATGGCTGCATGTTGTCACACCGTGAGGATGTGCAATAGACTGTTAACATTTTGGTTGCTTTTGATATTTCACTATTTTAAATAAGACTGTGCTGAAGAAGGCACTTTGTTTTGCATCTATTCTTTCTCGATTTCAAGTATGTGTGTTTGTTTTGTTTCTGGGCTGTGCTGGGGATCGGATCGAGCCATGGTCTTGCAAGTGCTGGACAAGCACTTCACCGCTGAGTAACATCCCAGCCCCCAGATGATATCTTTAAGAGAATTTTCAAGATTTGAATTATCAGGTAAAAGAATGCTTAAGCCTCTTTATGTTCACTGTGACATCTTCCACCACCCCATCCCACCAAAATGCATACCAACTCACAACACAAGCTAGCTTGAAAACAAGATGATTCCAACTCAGGGTGGTTTCTCAGATTTTAAAATGAGTTCTATCTAACTAAAGGAATTTGTTTGAAGTTTCTTCATTTAGTGCAAAGGGTACAAGTCCTCTCTAGCATGACACTTAGACTGTAACTTTCTTGAAAACCATAAGGAACCTGATTGTGACATTCCAGGTCCTCAAGTACACACAGCTCTCTTCCTAATTCCAAATTTTCTAATTGCTGAGAATTTTATTTAGAAATTAGTCAGGGGACTTGAAGTGCTTAATTGATTCAGTTATTTTACTGGACAATGAACACAAAAATTTCAAAGGCTGTCATGTGCTCCTAGATTGGGTATGGGTTTCATTGGGTATGGTGCTACGTGTTCTAAAGCACAGGATGAAAAAATGTTGACAAGATAAGCAAGCAAGAGTGGATTCCTATTTTCTCAGTTGCCCTAAAGTTGGCCTGAGTTTGTCATAAGATTAAATTTTTCCATTTTTGAACCATGGAAGCGGTATCCCAAATGGGATTCCCCAGGAATGATTGGACCTGTAGGAAAGACACACCTTGAGTGGCAACCATGGCATTGCTAGTTGTTTTGAAGCATGCTTAATTGTTCTGTCTTCTTCCATGCAACTGGAAAAGCACAAACAATAAATTTGACCTGGAATTATTTGGGTGCCCACTATTCTACATAGAACAGAACTGTACTCCAGCTCCCCCTCCCCCACCACCCATTGGCCATCTGAGATTCTAGTGATAAAGTGAAAGACCCAACAGCCTCCCAGACACAGACCCCCTGGTGAGACCAGAGTCCTGTAGATAAATGTCCCATGGATTGGCTGAATTGCCTACTTTTGACTTTTCTTCCCTTAATCTAAAGAAGCTCATCTTCTGTTACACTTCAAAACTCCAACAAGAACCAACTTGCATTTCATGAGAGAATTTTGTCATTGAGTTAAAGTAAAAAGCAAAACAAAAAAATGTCACTTTAGAATCTGTTTCTCAATGACTTTCACCCCACTGACTTTCTTTAACCACAACCAATGCTGGCCTCCACCCCAGCAGGGCACAGGAGGGGGTGATCACCTCCCAGCACCTCCCAGAGATTCTGCAGCTGATGGCCTTTCTGCATCTTGCCAGAACTTCCTGGGTTAGGATAACTCTGGGTAATCCTAAACAAAGCTCTATCCAAGCTACAACTTTGCGACCAAACAAGCCAGTTTTACAAGTCAAAGGAATTTAATTTGGTCTCACACTTGCAGTGAAATAAAACACAAAAGAAGAGAAAAGCTGGCAGCTTTGCTAATGAGCAGCTAGCTTTCTGGACACACTGCCAACTTAGTCTAATTAAATAGCATTAGCAGTCTAATGACACACTTAAAGAGGAAAAGTTCAGACAGGATGCAGGGTTCTTGACAGCAGCAGGGCAAACCTCAAAGTCTCCTGCACAGGTGAGTCCCCAGAGACACAGCAAGGTACAGGGGAGCCTGGCTCTGCAAGCTTTCCTAGGGAAGAAGACCAGGCACAGAACCTAAAGAAGTCCAAGTGCAAGGAAACCTGAAATATTGCAGTTTTGAATTTATTAATTCTTATTCCTGAAAAACTAACAAAAATATTGGTAAAGTGACTTCACCTTCACTTTCTCTCTTACCACCAGCCCCTTCCAGTTCACCTCCTGAAGAAAGTGCACCAAAAATGTATGGGAACCACAGATAAAATTGGCACATTATGTGCATGTATGAATATACGCCAGTGAATTCCACTTTGATGTCTGTCTATAGTGCACCAATTTTAAATACAACAAATTAATAGAAGGAAGACCAATAAAGTAGAGAAAGGGGACCAAGGGAAGGGAAAGGCTAAGTACTGGAAATTGAAATGGAGCAAATTATATGACATGCTTGTATGAATATGTCAAAATGTACCCTACTATTACATGTAACTATAATGCAGCAAGAAAAATATGCAAAAAGGAAAAAAAGAAAGAAAGAAAAACACTTGGGTCTGTGCTCTGATTTAGTCCATGCCAAATATATTACACTTAAGCCAAATTTGACAAAGTCCTGCAAAGGCAGTGCCTCCACTTACCTGTCACCAGGACGGCCTTTTGATCCACAGGTAACAACTCTTGGCTCGGTGAGCGCATATACAAGAGGAAACATGACAGGGAGAAAAGAAACAAGATCCAGAAGAGGGACAGTCTGAGCAGGCAAATCCCTCCCCAGAGGGCTGCGAGGCAGACCGCTTGGCTTCCCAGCTGCCCAGGGCTCTTGTATTTGCAAAGAGCTATGCCTCCCACACCTGCAGTGACAGCCAGGCACAGCCACACTGCCTCTGAGAAAGGCATGCTCATTCTCCACGACTCACTTCACTTTCACGCACTCAAGGACAGCAAGCCTAGTGGGCAAAGGCTAGCAGGAGGCAGCTGGGGTTATATGAATGGAGAGGAGAGAAAGGGGGCGGACACAGGCCCAGCACCCTTTGAATGAGCATGGATTAAGTGTAATCACCCAGACACATATTCCCACTGGCTAATTTAAACCCGTGTGCATTGCAATATAAATACCAGGGCCCTTCCTCTTTGATCAGGCCCCCCTCCCGCCCTTCTATGCACACAAAACACACACACACCCACACACACACACACACACACCCCACGCTCTCCCAGAGACAAACATGCACATTTGATTATTTTAATGATGGTTCCACCTCTGGAAAGATGATTAGTTGGATAATAATTGACAGACTTGGAACCGAACAGAAACTAACAAGCCCTCCGGTTCACAGGGGCATAGTCTCTTATCCTTTGAGAGCTCACAGTGAGTCAGTCTCCGAGTCCTTTTTCTGACTCAGGAGCGTGTACGTGTGTATGTGCGCGCAGCGCGTGTGTGTGTAAACCCAAGCAGTCAGTGAGATTTGGAAGGTGGATCGTGGTCGGGGGAGGCAACCCTGATCTGGCCCATGTCCACGGGACTCCTGCCTCTGATAACTCAAGAGGCTTCAGGGCTGGACGGAGGAGAGGGGATCCAGAGGAAGAGAGTCCTCAGTCTTACCAGAGGGGAGATATGCCAGGGAGAAATGAGAACAATGACAACAGAACTGAGCACAGTCAGCACTGGTGCTTCATTGTGACAGGGCTGTGTTCAGCTACTCCACTCATTCATCCTCTTTATTGAGAGGCTCCTATGCCACGCTCTGTTCCCGGCAGGAGGGCTCAACAGTCAACATGCTCAGTCTCTCTGAATACAAAAGCCTTATAACAGATTCTGTTATTGTAGTAGTTTTGGAAGAAGCTAGAGCACAGAGAGATCAAGAGATATACCCAAGATCACACAGCCTTGGAGCCAATCAGCCTCATCTCAGCACTTTAAAGCCTTAACTATTCCACTGCCCACTTTGGGTTAGAAATGGAACATAATCAGCAGGTTCACAAGCTTGCTCTTTCCTGCTGCTGCTTCATCTGCACTTTAGGAAATACTTTAAGGTAGAAATCAACACACTCAGTTTTTAAAAGAGAAAATTCAGTCTGGAGAGGCTAAGCCACACTGAGCCAAGACTGGTGAATCCAGACCCATATCCACATTTCAATAGCTCAAAAGGCATGATGTGGCTGCCACTGCATGCAGGTCACAGCGCAAGGCTGATGGCCCCAGGGGGAGCTGCTCCCCTGGACAAGGTGGGCCTTGACCTTGCCACTTTCCTGGGAAGGGTTTAGAATTCTAATAAAGTCCTGGTGTTGGGGGAGCCTGAGAGACAGAAGAGCTCGCACTCGGAGTTCAGATTGCCAGAATGAAAAGCCAGACCTCGCTCCCGGCTCATTAACCAGGTAGTCTCGTGGGGGTCACTTCATCCTGTGGTCTCATTCTACCTGGAATACTAGAAAGAGCCTCTCAAATGCTAGTGGTTTGCTTTTTACAAATAAGAAAAAAAAAAAACATCAAGAGGAGGTCATGTAGTGTCCAGTAGAACACAGTGAATGGTCCTGACCATGGGCTCCTCCAGGAGTGGCGGGGAGAAGCCAGGTGCTGCGGCTGCCGTGGGGGAGGCAAGGTTGGCGCAGGGTCGAATCCAGCCGCACATGATGTGAGAAGACAGCTCAGAGGCCAGGTCGACCTGGTTTAGGCTACCTCAAGACCCAAGGGAGAGGGGTGGGAAGCAGCAGCCTGAGAGCTACACCTGCTGGGAGCTGTGTGATCTTAGAACCCTCGGGAGGTGGCAACTCACATCTGCCCTCCCAGCTTCGTGGGTACCATGGTAGGAAGGTTTTGCCAACTCCAAGCCAGAAAGCTTCAGCCTAAGGATCTGGGATTCTCTTTGGCTAGCCTTGGACTCTCCCTCTCTCCCCCCACAGACCCCACTTCTGCTGTTGACTGTGCCACCGAGGGTCGGGGCACCTTTCGCAGGTCTTGTGCCCTCACGAGCCAGGAGGATTCTGTTGTCAGATCCAATGGACAAATGCCTTCCCTCATGGACATGGCGGACAAGTCGCAGCCCTTTACAGGGGGCTTTGGCACTTTGTCAGCGACCCCCACATCTGGGCTGGGCCAAACATACCTGTGTAGGTCTTCTGACAGGTGCCCACCCACCTGAGACCAGGTGACTCTTCTCTGGGAGGCAGCCACGTGGCTCTCCGGCTGGAAGCCCAGTCCTACAGCAGCCCTCATGCGACGTGGAAGCCTAGGTGAGGGTGTCCCTGACCCTGCTGAGTTGGAAACCTGGCTCCACCACTTGCTGGCTGTGAGGCATTGGGCAAGTTAACTGCCCTCGCTGAGCCTCAGTTTCCCCATCTGTCAAAGCGGGGTGGAGAGAAGTCCTGCTCCCTGTGGTTGTTCACAAAGCAAACCACACAGTTCCTGCAGGGCTCCTGGCACAGACAGGCAGTCATCAAGGGAAGCCACTTTCCTCATTGTCAGCAGAGCTTAGAAGTTAAAAGAAGCTGGAGTTAGAAGAAGCCAATCTCTTCCCTAGTCACGAGTTCTCCATTCCATCCACCCCTCAGCTCATCCCCTTGGGTCCTTCAGACTTCCGCTTGATGTCACCTCTTCACCTCCCACCCGGAGCATCTTCTGTGCCCACACCTGATCCAGCTGCTTCGTGACACTTAGCCCAAAGTACAATTACGGACTCCATTAGTTCATTTAAGGAAAGCTCTCTGTCTCTTCTTCTAGACAGTGGACTTCCTGAGGGCGGGGACCTTGTCTCAATTGTCCTCATTGTTGTTTTCCCTCGGCTCTTCTCTTCTCGATGCCTCTCCTGGTGCCTGGTACACTTGGGTACCAAATCATAAGTGGCCTCAGGGAGGAGCGAGTCTCTACTGAGTGCCTTCTAGGTGTCTGGCTCCGCACCAGCCGGGGTGGAATTCAGTAGGGAACCATAGGGACCCAGCTCCTGACCTGCAGAGCCAATGACCAGAGCTCTCGGGAGGCTGCCGTGGTGGGGTGAAAAGGAAGGCTCTCTACCAACTGGGGGCAGGTGGAATTGCAGCATTTCCAGGCTGACAACTCTCCCGACCCCTTCTGAGCCCTGAATTCCTCGTCCATCTGAGAGCTGCTCTGGTCTGGATGAAGACTCCTCCACCCAGCTGGTGGAAGCCTGTCTTCTTTTTGTCCCCATCATTTTGTCCTGGAGCTAGATCCTCAAGGACATCCGTGCTTGGCTGGTGCCCTGTGCCTGGCAAGCCTGAGTGCAGCTTTCCAAGAAAGAGAACAATTGGATGAATTATTGCTATTGACGCCAGTGTGTTGGTGTGCTAGGTCCTTCTGCCAGAGAGGGGGCGGGGGGGCCTCTGTGAAAACAAGACAGTCTTACCAAAGGCAAGGATTTCTCAATCTGGGCAAAAGAAAATAAAATTAAAATATTGCTGAGAATCCTCAAATGTACACTTTCTTAGAATAAGTGACTCAAGTTTAGACTGGAATTTGAAGAAGTAACTTCCCATCTAGAGTGGGGAATAACATGCCCACCAAGTGGTCATCCTCACTATTGCCTGAGAACAGGCCCTTCATTGCCCCTGCAGGCTACGTATTTAGGTCCCAGTGGCTCAGGGTGACACAACATTCCCCTCTAGGCTCAACTCAACCTTGGCCTTTGTCTTCCTTTCCCACTTGGAGACACACAGAGGATGGCTGGTTCTATTGTTTTCAGGTATTTGAAGACTGCTCTCATGTCTTCTCCAGGCTGATGGTCCCTGGTTCTCTCAAATATCCCTTGCACACAGTAGAATATGTCTTACCTTGTGCTAAATTCCTGAAACAGCCACATTTTTTAATAGTTCAAACATTCTTTTAAAAATTATGTTGTTGCAATAACTGAAGAATATTTTGATATGGTGCGTGTGCAGCATGGCACCATTCAGCAAGCAGAGAACAGCCACATGTTGGTGTTAAAGTTCAAGACACGAACAGATCGGTACAGGTCATAACCGATAATCTCAGGGACATTGGGGAGATGTTGCCAGTGATGCACATTATTATTGGTTTCATTGAATGCTTGGGTAATAATTAATATTTTAAGTATATAATTGTAATTGAGCAAATATTAAGCATTTCTTTCATACAGTGAGAGGGACAACCACAAATGCAGTGAACAACCAGAAATTGGAGCTGGATCAAGTCTTTTTTTCCCCCCTGTTCTTGCAACACTGTGTAGTGAAGATGTCTAAACCCCACAATTATCATTAATTCCAATCTCATTTATCGTAGGACATAATTCACGTTTCTTTAGCAGCATGACCCTTCATAGAATGGCAGCTATCCAACTGCTAATTCCCCCTGAAAGACTGGACCCAGAACTGGACACAATAATTTTAGGACAGTGCAAACATCACAGAATAGAATCAGATTATCACATCCCCATCCTGAAGCTATGTTTTCCTTTATACGTCCAAAGAATCATTTGCCCTTTTGACAGTAGTGCCCTATTGGCTCCATAATAGGAGTTTATCAAATAAAATTCCAGATTTTGTAGGTATTTTTGTGTCATTTTAATTTTTTGTTATAAACTATAATACATGTGAAGAATTGTCCAAAACATAAATCTAAATAAATTTCCATGAGTCCATACTAATATAAATAAGGGGGGGGGGGGGGGGGCGCAGAGAAAACTTTATAAAATTCCAACATGACAATCTTCTTCTCAGCCAGATTGGCTTATTTATATTTAATGCAAATATTGATGTGTTTCATTTAAATCTGTCTGGCCTAATTTCTAAGTCTCTGATTCATTTCCATTTCATTTTTATACAGCATGAGAGATAAGGGTCCAGTTTTCCCAGCACCATTTGTTAAAAAGGCTGTCTTCTCTTCAACATATATTTTTGGCACCTTTGTTAAGTAGCGGGTGGCTGTAGGCATG